GAATATCGCTATATGTGGAATATGTCATATATGGCAATAAGTGTTTGTGTATATATACATACTCTGTACATGTATGTATATATTCCATTGCATCTTTCTTCTTTCTCCTCACGTCCCATATCATCATCTGCCCCTAGGCATCTCAAACCAAAAAAAAAATCTAAAACAAAAGTCATCATCTTCCCCACCCTACCCCCACTCCCCAACTTGCCCTTCTTCGTAGTTCCATTATTTCTATTAAATGTACCACTGTGCTCCCAGTCAGCCAGGTTTATAACACTGGAGTCATCTTCAACTCTTCTCTCACCTATGTCCCAATTAATTACCAAGTGTTGTCAGGTCTTCTTTCATCCTTCCCCTTCTCCTTGCCCACAAGATCCCTACTCTAGCTGAGCTCTCATCTCCACACTTCTGCTCCCAGGCTTTCCCTTCTTCAGTCTTTCCTCCACAAGGCTGCCAAAGTATACTTCCTAAGACTTAAATCTGGCAGTATCATTTCCCTGCTCAAAAGCTGTCAGTGGCACTCCACTGTTTATAAGGATAAATTGTAAATAGTAGCATTTAAGACTTTCTGCTATCTGTACTTTTCTACTCTTATTTCATTCTGTCCTCCCTCGTAATCTCTATGTCACAGCCAAACTAGACTGTTTTCCTTCACTGAACTTAGCTCTTCATCTCCTGCTTCCATGTATTTGTACAAACTCCTTGCTATACTGTTGGCTGTCAGAATCGTTGTCTTCCTAGAAGGTTCTGTTCAGGTCTCACCTTCTCTGTGAAGCCTTCCCTGAGTCCTTGATTTGTTATTGTTCAACCCTTTCCTCGGTTTTCTTCACATTATATTTCTTTATGTATGTTTCCTCCAAGTAAAATGTAGGCATCTTGAGGGCAAGTACTGTTTAATTTTCGCCTTTTGCATTTTCTTACACACAGTAGGTACCTTGTAAATGTTGAATTGAAGTAAAAATACAACAAAGCCCACTCCCAAGCAATGTCTTAGAACAGTGAACATCTGGAAAAGCCCAGTAACTAACAGAGCAATTTGCTGGGCTTGCCGTTTGACTCCAGTCCAACTATCAAACCAAAAGGCAGTGTTGTATATAGCTACAGTTGCTAATCAGAGGACAAGGCCTCTCCACATAAGCGAAAAATTAAGAATACAAATGCTCAAAAAGAAGTCAACTAACCTAGAATCTGGATGTGAGAGTGTCCATGACAATAAAAGGCACCGCACTGTGGAAACCCTTGAATACTGGACAAGTGAGTTTGAACTTTCCTCCATGTGGTAGGAGGGAACACTACCAGATCTATTCACTGAAGTGATTTGTCTGTCAGTGTATGATACAATGGTTTGGAGTACAGTTAAAAAGAACTACCAGGAACCTGTTTCAGAAAGTTGGTCATGAATGCCTATATAAAGATGGTGAAGGTGGCAATGGAGAAGAAGGAAAAATGTGAGCTGGATTGTGAAGGTAGAATCAATATGACTGATTAGACATAAGATGTGTGAGAAAAGGAAAGAAAAGAATATTCTCAAAGTTTTGAACCTGAGACTGGCTAAATAGTATTACTGATGACAGAAATAATGTCAGAAGAAGCAGCAGGTTTGAGGGAAACAGTAAAAAATTTAATTTAGAACATCTTAAATTTGAGCTGTTTATATTCACTTCCATTATTTTTGCCTATTTTATAAGGTGATGCCACTTGTAATTTGACATTCACCTTAATGGTGTCTTCCACATGAATTTGTATTCTAAAAAGATTGACTTGTTTTAGACTTGACTTCTTAACAATGAAATTAAAGATTTGCTGGCAGAAGTAGTTTCTGGGTTTTTTATCATCCCATTGTGGCAGCTATTGTATGTCAGTTAAACTTTTTCAGGAAATGGCAATAATTGAGGCCTATATATTTGCCTTTTTTTTTTTTTTCCATTTTCCATCCACAGGAGCTAATGTGAGTAGGTCTGCCTAAGTGATTTGCAGTTGTTCATGTGTCTTCTCATCTTTGTTCTTCCAATTCGAAGTTGATTTTTATCTTTGTTTTAACTAGTCAGTGGTCTGATTGAATACAGACACCTGATACTAATATGACAATATTATAATATAATATCTAATATGAGAATATGATAATAATATTAGCAACAGTCAGGTTTTAGGTAGTTTCATTTTTTGTTGTTATTCAGTGTTACCCACATCAATTGCCTTCTGACTCTCTTCTGCTGGGAAATATACATTGTGTGAGATACACCATGGTACAATGGAAAGGCTATTGAATTTGGGGCCAGAGACCTGCACTTAAACTCCAGCTCTGCCACTTTTAGTCTTTGTGTGACCTTGGGAAAATTATTTACTATCCATAGACCTCGTTTTCCCAAATTATAAAATTTCGGGGTTGAACTAGATGACCTCTGAGTTCCCTTTCATTTTCAAATCTGTGATTCTCTAATAAAATCTATAGACACATTTTGTGGAACAGATATGTAGATCTTTACTGACTTTACCACACCCAGAGATCACAATCATAATTATGAGCAGTATGACAACTGTGTATTTCATTGAATTCTGTGATTCTCTAACCACATTGGACTGTTACCATGAACATACTTAAGTATTCTTGTTCACATTACTCCCTACACCTGGAATAGATTCTTCCCTCCCTATAGCACACATACCTAATATGTACCTGCTATCCTATTTATCTGCCAATACCTACCTCAAGTGCTACTTTTTCCCGGCTTCCCTTCCCCATCAGAAGTGATCAATTCCTCATCAGAGTTCTCTGTATGCTTATGATGTTTCTGTTTGTGAACGTGTGTAGGCTCCCCTACTATGTTGTGAGTTCATTGAAGGGTAGGATCTATGTAGCATAATAACAGCGTCCAACTCCCAGGGATATTGTGAGGATCAAATGAGATAATATTTGTAAAGCATTTAGCATAGTGCCTGGCGCATAAGAGGCGCTATATAAGTGTTGGCTGTTATTATTAATCTTTGTGTATTGATGACTTACGTTTCTATAGTTCTTTAAAATTTATTTCACGCTTTTCTCACAACCTTGTAAAATATGTAGTATAAATATTATCATCTCCATTTTATACATAAGGAAACTGAGGCTTTAAGAATTTAAGTTGATTTGTCCATTTTTATAGTCTAGTAAGCCAAAACACATATCCAGGTCTTTCTGATGTCAAGCTAAGAGCTATTTCCACACATCCGTAGCAGGCTGCATGCTCAGCAGTTCTCAAAACAAGTCCTACTTTACACAGGGTAGGTCCTTAATAAATTTTTGAATTTGAAATGCTTGTTGAATTTTGTTAAGTTGCTGTTAATTAATTCACCTAAAAAGTCACCTTATTATAAATAGTAGGATACTGAGCAAAGTAGGCTTTGAGGAAATAGTCTGACTTCTACTGCATTTTAGGAATACTGTGTAAATCACAATCAGATGAAGGGAGCCACTTAATAGGGATATAGTAGAAAGGATTCATGTATTAGACAGGAAATTAGACTAGTCACCTCCAACTCTAGCCCTGAGAATTGATAGCTCCCTCTTAGTTCTGGTTTCTGGTATAGGCATAAGCTTATTGTGATGTGATCCACTTGAGTGAATTTGGGGCCTTCTTTCCTAATTGGACAAACATCATTTCCCAGATGAGTTTACCATAAAGCAAATAGTAGTCTTTCACATTTCAAAAACAAGTGCTCACCCAGGATGAATAAAAAGAAATGTGGGAAACAAAAGAAAAATGAAGATTGACATATGTTACATGTGTAGCATCAGCCAAGCCTGCAGACCTACCTCTTGGCCTGTTCAAAAACTGCTACTTACATGCTTCCTTTTATGATGATTATGTACAGACCCTAATTTAATTGGATAAGAATTCAGAAAAGTGTAAGCTACCAAAAATTGTCATTTATGAGCAACCCCACTGGTAAGTGAGCTGAAAATGGTTATCATTTCTACCATTACCAGTTTCATTTTGTTAATCTTGTTTCAAACCAAAAGTAAGGCAATGAACAATAGCAGAATTGTCCAGTGAAACTTCCTCTAATTCTCCAACCAGGATGGGATGGATATGGGTGCACTCATTTCCCTGCTTTGCTGCTATTTGTTGGAGTAAGACTCCTAGTAAGGTGAAGGAAGCTTGAAAGCACTGATGTGTATAACAATGCCATTTTCTTCAGTATACCTAAATTTGAATCTGAATACACAATGGTTCTTTGTAAGTTTGCTCTCCTTCATAGTTTTCAGGAGGGGTAAAGTTTTTTATTATACTGCTGCCAAAAAATGTTTGTAGTGATTTTTTTTGCTGTTACTGTTTAGCCCACAAGTTATTTTGGCCATCTCTCATAACATTTATTAGTTAATACTCAGTAAAACATGAAGGAGCAACGTTGCATTGAATTTTTAGCCTCCGAATTTCTTGTGCTGCTTGAATTGTAGCCTTTGGGTTACCATGCACTATTAAAATACTTTATATTTTTGGAATATTGCTTTTTTTTCCCTGGGAAAATCCAGTAAGTGAACAGGAATTTCCTCTTCTCAATACTGCCTCGTTTGGCAGTGTTTTTTGGTCCAGCTCTGAAGACAATGTCACGATAAAGGACCTTCTCACAATGTCAGCATGCTCTGCTTTGGTATATCTGGAGAAAGAGGAGAGAATTCCAGATAACTTTGCAGGAATCCTTTCCAAACAGGCTGAAACTATGGCTTCAAAAGCTGCTCTGTAGACTGAAGAATTCCTCTTGTCAATTTCCTCTCCCCCTTCCTGCCCCCCATTCAGTATGGAAAGCAAGGAGCATCTCTCTGCTGGTGCATTAAAATGAGCTGAAGGATGCCAGGATATATGCGCATGCGTTTTCCCCTCCTTCCCCTTCCCCCTCCCTCCTTTTCCCAACACCCCCTCCCTTCCTTCTCTCTGTTTCCCTTCCCCCTCAGTACTCCCCTTCTCAGTGTCTCAGTTCTGCAGTAAACGAGACTGAAGCACATTCCAGCTTTGCAAGGCTTGCTGATTGGGGATGTATTATGGCTTTTGTTTGGATCGAAACATACAGAAATTTCAGGTAATGCTTTGAAAACTAAGCTTAGGCAAGTGCATTCTGTCAGGATGTTTTTGAGCATGAAAAATGTTTGTCTTAGAACTAAAGAAGAAACTGACATGAAGAAACTAACAGCTATGTTAATTTCATTCCTATAAATAACAGTGTAAAATGGTTTTTCAAAACCTCAAGTATAGTAATTAACTTGATCAGGTCCTCTTCCCTCCTCCTCCCCCAAAAAATGATCAGACGAAAGCAAATGGAGGTGGATCTATTTGTACTGTACTACGTTTGGATTTTTCCTGTTGTGTGTCAGTCTTTAATGGGCTTTGCTGCTGGCTTTTCTGCAGCATTAGAGGTTGATTTTGTGGGGTGGTACTAAGGGTTTAAAGAAGTGAAGCCCTAGGCAGTAGTGTTTGATGAAAGGGTAACTGTGTTTATACCAGCATATTAGATTTGAAACGTAAAATGCTCTCTCCTTTTCTTCTATCAGCTACTCAGAGGAGACACATTGCAACTCCTGCTGAAGTCCCTAACCTTCTTCCCTTCTCTTCTGCCCCTTCCCCCTACCCTCACTTGGCTTGAAGAAAGTGTCCCTGAGGTTGGCCTCATCCCTGGTGCTATGTGCAAAGTGAAGTTGCCACTATGGCCATTACCAGGACTGGCTGCAAAGCTGCTGTAGGCTCTGGATGCCACAAGGAAAGTACAGAGCAGTCCTATTTAAAGGGGAATTACACTGCAGGAAACGCACAAGGAGGGCAGCACCTGGAGTAAGTGGATCAAGACTTCTCTGGTGTCATTCCCCACTCGACCCATGACAATGACAGCAGCTGTTCCTCCGAGAGGCTGGAGCATGAAGTGAAGACTCTATTGCAGCCCTCAAGATGAACTCCACCTTGGAGGGTAATCAGACCAACCATCCTTTTTGCCTTCTTGCAATTAACTATTTGGAGACTATCAATTTTTGCCTCTTGGAAGTAATGATAATTATTTTTTTAACTGTGCTGATCATTTCTGGCAACATCATTGTGATTTTCGTTTTTCATTGTGCACCTTTACTAAACCATCACACTACAAGCTATTTTATCCAGACTATGGCATATGCTGACCTCTTGGTGGGAGTGAGCTGCCTGGTCCCTTCCTTATCATTACTCCATTATCCCCTTCCATTGGAGGAATCCTTGACCTGCCAAGTCTTTGGCTATGTGGTGTCAGTGCTAAAGAGTGTCTCTATGACTTCTCTGGCCTGTATCAGTATTGACAGGTACATAGCAATCACCAAACCCTTGACCTATAATACATTAGTCACACCCTGGAGACTCCGAATTTGTATTTTGGTGATTTGGCTTTATTCTACCCTGGTTTTCCTGCCTTCTTTCTTCCACTGGGGTAAACCTGGGTATCATGGAGATGTATATCAGTGGTGTGCTGAATCATGGTCCACTGACCCTTACTTCACCCTCTTCATTGTGATGATGCTCTATGCCCCTGCAGCTTTCATTGTGTGCTTTACCTACTTCAACATTTTCCGCATCTGCCAGCAGCATACCAAAGAAATTAGTGAAAGGCGAGCACGTTTCAGTAGCCAGAGTGGAGAAGCTGGGGAGGTACAGCCCTGCCCAGATAAGCGCTATGCCATGGTCCTGTTCCGCATCACCAGTGTCTTCTATATCCTCTGGCTGCCGTACATCATTTACTTCTTGTTAGAGAGTTCTGCTGGTTTCAGCAACCGCACTGCATCCTTCTTGACGACCTGGCTTGCCATTAGTAACAGCTTCTGCAACTGTGTCATTTACAGTCTCTCAAATAGCGTTTTTCAGAAGGGGCTGAAGAGACTCTCAGGGGCTGTATGTACCTTCTGTGTAAAGCCAACAACAGCCAAGGACCCTTGTCCTTCTAAGAGCAAAGGACCCCCTAATGGATGCCATGTCTGAAATAGCTCTCAGCATGTCTGTGTTACTGGGTGTTTTTCTTTCCAAGTATTTCTTAGTCAGTTAGGAAATTTGGAACAAAAATCACATCAACTTAACTTCTGTGTTTAAAACGAGATTTTTTTGAGTAGTGTTTTTGGGCCATAAGAATTAAAACAATGAATGTAAATTGTTGGATCCAATTTTTGAAATGTCAAGGAAGTTATTCTGGTTTTCAAACAAATCATGCCATGTCAAGTACTTCTCTGTGGCTGGCATGACTGCATCTGGATACAGGGTAGCTTCATCATCGAGGAAGAGTCTTCATTTTGTACAGCTTTACTGTGTTCTTTCCAGCTATTTATGTAACTTGTGTAAATGGTTTCTATGGACAAAGAATGTCCGACTGTGGCAGTGAATTCTAGGAATCCTTATGTTTGCCAAAGCATAACTTCACTGCACATTTCAACACTGTCAATTGGGCCAAGGTAGGGAGAGTGGCAGATTTTTATGTCTCTCCTCCCTGGAGAGACAGCTCTCCATAGACTGAATAATGTGAACTCTTGAATATTAACTTTATAAATTTGCAATGAGCCATGCAATAATCATACAATCAAGTCATGAGGTTGATAGGAATCTGATCTAGCCTCAGCACTGTGCCCTGCTTCACAGCTCTCTAAAGAAACGTTGTGCAGGGGTGTGATTTAATTTACAGGATTTGACACGTGTGTGTGTGTGTGTGTGTGTGTGTGTGTGTGTGTGGTGAATGTTTGAATTCAGCCAAATATATCTATTAAAATAAAATGTATTTTAATAAGCTAAGAAACAGTTATCTTTAATGACATAATTGTGGCTGCAGTTTGGATCATGTTGTTAAGTAACGAATGTGTTGTTAAATCTTATCAGAAATGATACTTGTCTTGCTCATTTTATCCAAAGACTTCTGAGACCTTATCTATTGGAACATCAGGGAAAAGAACAGAGACTGAGGGAAAGAAAATACTGTGTCTTAGGCTAGAGAGTTAAAAAGAACTGAAAGAATCTATTTGAGGCTTATTTTTGGTCATGATTAAACAGAATCAGTGAATACAGCAGCAGCTAATTCTTTTTTGGAAATGCTTCTGTTGCTAGTTAAATAATAACCTAAATGTTCATTTTGGGAAAATGATGTTAAGGAATTCTCATTTGAAAAAAAAAAAAAGGAGAGTTACAACTAAACAAGGGCTGATTTATTGCTTTTCTGCTTACTTGAGGGGGGTGGTCCTTATTCCCTTAAAAACTATCCTTTTAGCCAGAGTATATAACTATAGGTTTGAAATTTGATTCTGTAGAGCCACTGTTGTAGAGAATTGATGTCTGATGGTTTGTTTTTTAAACATATCTTGTTTTATGAACAAGATATTTAATGGATTCATGGTTTCGTCATAAAGGGTACTTCCTTCATTTACAGCAACCCTTTTACGTTGAGTTACCATGCTTGAAAACATTTGTCATCTTGTGACCAGGCTTCTGTTGATGCCCTTTTGCATTTAACTAAGCTGGTTTGTTAGACAACAGACATAGAGTCTGTCAGCAGCCTCATTCTTAGTAGGGCCTCCTAGAGCTTTTGCTCTGCTGATATACTCTTTGAAAAACTCAGGATGCCTCCACACTACATTTTAGCATCAGAAAAGGATTTTATTAGAGGAAGCAGAAGGTACATTCTCATTGGAGAGTAAGCATTCCCTGGGAGCTAAGTGCTTTGCCATATTTCCTTTATTTTTTTAGAGGGAGTCTTCAGAGAGGGTGTCTAATAACTGCCATTTGGCTAGACATAGTATGAATAATAATAAAAGCAACTCACATTTCTGTAATGCTTTACTATTAAAGTACTTTCCTCAAAACCATCCTGTGAGAGATCAGTAATGTGAATATTATTCCAGTTTTACAGATGAGAAAACTGAGGCTCAGAGATGTAAAGTGGCTTGCCCATAGCCACTTAATTTCAGAAAACCAGTATGTGTCAGATCTATGACTCAAATTTAAGTTCTTCTGACTTTATCTCATGATTCTTCCATTGTCATAGTTGCCTCTACCTGTATTGATGGTGTTCAATGTGATGAAAAAAAGGGGGGGGATAGTGTACAATATTCATCTGAATTATTTCACGGCTCCAAGAAAGTACAGTGGGACATTGATAAAATATGTAGGCAGGTTTTTTGTGTATTTTTTTTTTTAATTTTCTACCAGCATCCTTAGAGCCTCTGGAAAAATAGCTCATTTGTGTTTATAAGATTTTTATGTTGTCTTAATATATACGGCATGTTTCAATTTATAGTCTGTATTATGCTGTTATGCAGAATTAATTCTCAAATGATTGAGTATTTATTAAAACCCAGACTTCCAACTTTGTTCTCTGTGGTAGCTTGCTTGCTGTTTATTCTTAATCTGATTTTGAGCTTCTTTGCTATTCAGAGCTTGTCCTCAAATTATATATTGTATAGAAAATAGCCATATGAAATCAGCTCTGAGTAGAACCCACCAGTACCTTTTTCTACCTTCTAAAACGGTGTTATTATATTCTACCATTCTCATTCCTGGTTACTAAGAGGTGAAGATCCTGGAGGATGAACAGCCACTATCCTTTGCACATGTGTCAGGCAGAAATGAAGTTTATTTAGATCTACATATAATATGTTTGTGAAATTTACATTAGTAAGTATTGGAATCTTGAGATAGCCAATTTTTTGTAAATAGATTTCAGAACAGGTGATAGGTTTCCTTTGTATTTATGATACTTCTCAAGGCCTGTAATTTTTTTCTACCAGAAATGTTTCTCATGCAAGAATTGAATGCTGTTTAATAGAACAAACATTTATTTAGCCCCTACTATGTAAAGAGCACTGTGATTATAGAACTAAGGAAGATACCAAATTTAGATGAGATATAGCTCCTACCCTGGAGAAGCATTCAGTTAAGTAACAGCATGTGACCCACCAATAGGATCATGGGGTTTATAGCCAGAAGGGATTGTAGAGAGAGTACTTGTCCATTTCCCTGGTTTTTGTAGATGAGGAAACTAAAGCCTAGAGAGAGAAAATGACTTGCCCAAGGTCACATATGGAGAAAATGGCAGAACTGGGACTCCATCATGGATCTTCTTTCTCTAAATGCAGTGTGCTTTATACTATACCACACTGTAACTATACATGATAGTTACATGATGTAGTATGTGAGACTGGAAAAAATAGATCTTATGATATCTGAGATGGAGAAAGGTCATTATTGCCGGAAGGAAATAAAAGTTTTCATAGGACTGGTGACATTTGAGTTAGACTTTATAGAATGGATAGGAATTCAGCAGGTGGTCTTGAGATAAGGGAGGATAGGGCCTTTCAGGGATTTGAAATAGCACATATGCAAAAGCACAGAGACAGAAAAGCTTCAACCATTTTGATTGGAGCATGAATAAAATGGCTAGGAGTAGGTAGAAATAAGGATGAACTATATAGGTCTTTGAATGCCAGGCTAGCAGTTTTGAGGGTTTTGAATAGTTTGAATAAAGGAGTGATGGACCAGATGCATAAGGAAAATACATCTAGCCTTTAATGAGAAGAATGGATTGTTGGGGAAAAGTGTAGGTAGGAAAAGCTGTTAGGAGGCTATTGCAATACTCCAGGCAGATGGCAAGAGGATCTGTATTAGTAGTGGGAGATGGATAGAAGAGATACTGTGGAAAAATAAGTGTTGATAATTATTAAGTTCCTAGTAATGCCTGAGTAAGCTGCCATTCTCTTAATGACCACGAAGAGGCTGTTCCTTTTATAAGTTTATTTCAGTTAATACATTAACAACAGATGTTTTTTCTAGTGCCAAATTCAGATTCTATAGGAGGTATTTTTTTATGTAAGACCTGCTATCAGTTAGCAAGAAGGGAAATTGAGTCAAACAAGGAATTTTAAAGAAAATAACCTGACTGGTATTTGCTAATGCTTCATGCGGTCAGTACCTCCTATTTCCATGGGTGTCTAAAGTTCCTTCTACTTCCACAATTCTAATATTTTTCACATGCCACTGGTTCCTTTTATTTGTAGAAGAGTCTGTGAGGAGTCTCTTATTTTATCATTTTGTGTCTTATTTTTATTTTCCAGTTTTTTTTAAGTGTCTTCATTTAATGCCACAGTTGGTATTATACAGTTCAAATACCAAACTGCATATTTCAGAATAAAAACATATATACATATTTTTAAACTCAATTACCTTCCAGTCTGGCAGGACAGCTCATTTAACTTTATATGGTATGTTGCTGCTAGATCTCAGAAGAGACTACAAGCTTCCATTCTTTGTTTTTGGTGATTTGGCAACATTGACAAAACAGTGTGGCACAATGGCAAATTCTCCCATAGCAAATTTGGAAATAAAGTTACTTTAATGCTTCATACTTAAAAATTCCTTCCTACAGTTCTTTCTAATGGTCTTATTAAAGTTCAGTCTTAATTCTTTGATAGCAGTAGTAGGTGACAATGATTAGCAAAGGCTATATGTTCCACTAAACTGCTTTCCTGGAAAGGGTCATCAAGTACATTAAAACAGAATGGATATTTGAAAGCACTTTAAATGGAATTATTGACTCTGATTCAAAACCCCATCTGTGAGAAGTGTAGGTTTCTTTGCTGAGCATCTGTAAAAATAGTTGACTTGAGTAATGTTCATTAAATCACTGGCATCAAAACTTGAATTTTCACATGAGAAATGCATTGGTCCATAGCTTTGAAGTTGAAAAATGAGGACCTGATATAAAGTGAGTCTAGCTCTGCTAGAGTGAGCTCTCTCTACTTTTCAGATTAGGCAAAAGATTTTAAGTGTTCTCCATAAATGTAATTCTCTCCACCACCCCCATCCCTCCTTAAAAAAAAAAAAAGACTTAATAGAGGTTGATAATATAGGAGATATTTTCATTTATGTAACTGTATATGTGTTTTAATCATAAAAAATTACAAATTAAATTTGCAATGGTCAGAGACCTATTGCTATATGCAAAAATTTGGGAGAATTTGAAGACAACTGTAGTAAGAAGCTTTTCCTAATAATTTAGAATTTTGAAAAATCTTTATATGAATCATTATCATCTAAGTGGATTTTTGCACATTTTTTTCAATTTCTGATAACATGAAGGAAAATAATAAATAAAAGATGCTTTTAAAAACAAAAATAATTACTCCTTATGTTTTGATCAGCTTACTCTGAGATTCAGAAATCTTAAGTGCTTACTCTAGTATACAAAGATATATGCTCAATACCAGGTATACAAAGTAAATATAATAAAGAGACTGCCCTCAAGGAAGAAGACATATATATGAGTAACTGATACCTAGGAGTGCAGTAAGTACAAAGGAGAGTTCCAGGTGAATTGCTATGTGAAATCTAAAAGGAAGAAACTACTTTGAACTGAAGAATCACTGAAGGCTTCTTCCTTTGTTGGTCCTGGAAGAGTTAGAGGAACTTTGAAATACTAAGAATTGGGGTAGCCATTCCTTGCAGGTGAGGAGCAAAGACAGAGATTAGAGAGTGGAGAATAGTCTACTTTGGATGAACTTAAGAATATATGAAAGGCCCAAGTATTACATAACACTAAATAGATAGGCTAGAGTAAGATTGTAGAAGTCCTTGAATGCCAGAATCTATAATTTAGATTTTAATTGTTAGGAAGCCACAGAAAATCTCTCAGTAGAAAAGCAAAATTAACATAATCAGATTTATAAACATTTCATTTTGCCCTTCTTCACAATTAGGTAAGAAGTAGGTCAGTGTTCCTGCCATGCTTTGGTATAAGAGGTAGCATGGTATATAATGGAAGGAGCACTGGATTCAGAATCAGAAAACCTGGCTTCAGATTCCAGATCTGTCACAACTACTACCTGTTGGGCAAGTTGCCTGATCTCTCCAGGCTTCAGTTTCCTCATCTATAAAAATTGAGTTGGAATTGGACATCTTTAAGATACTCTAGGGTAATATATACGACATGAACTATCTCAAATTCAGAACCCAATGCTAAGTTGCTTCTCCATGCCACCCAGCAGCATGTGACCCTAAAGTTAGCAAGCTGGGAAAGGTAGGGAAGGTCAGCATATTTCTTCTTTCATTTGAAAATAACATCACCTACATTTGCTTATTTTTATATGGTGCACTTTTCCCCTCATCACTCACTTTTCTTCAGGGTAGTCATAGTCAT